TTTTAAATAGGTCAAAATTAAAATTCTGGTGAAAATTGAATTTAAGGTCAAACCTTTTAAAATTCAATTTAAAGTCATTTAAATTCAAAATCCTTTTTGAAAATTGTAATATGACCCTGAATTAAAATTAAACTTAGGCCATTCCAAATTATCGAGTTATAGAAAATGTCCTTACTTCAAAATTAATAATTTGACCCTTATTCCATTATTGCAGATGGGTCCCCGCAATTTCATAAATTGTAGGGGAGGCCCCCGTCGCAAAAAATTCACCCGATTAGAAAACCATAAATTTTTATTTCTTCCCGATGCTAACATTTGCCAGTGTCGTATCTTCTGACAGCGGCATGGGATAGCTAGCGGCCTCCTGCCATCTTGCTTCTGTGAAGAAGTGTCGCTATTGTTGCAATTGCAGCGATAGCGCACTCTAGTGCAATGACTACAGGCGCCGCTACAGAGCTCAGTGGCGCCTACTGTCGTTGCCATTCATGCAGTAGCGCGCTGCAACGAACACGGCATCACACTGCTACATTTTTTCCGCGTGTAGTAGTCCACGCCTCCACCGAGTGCCTTGCCATCGCCACCACGACGGTGGCTCTCCCTTTTTCTCCAAATCCAGATTTTTGACCTAAAAATGATTTTATATTCAAAAACAGATTTTAGAAGATGAAAATAATTTTCTTTAAATGCTAGAAACATGAAAAACAAACAGTCAAGCATGGATTGTTTCCAAAGATTCAAAACAATTTCTAACAAACATAAAGTAGGCTCTGATACCACCGTTAGGAATTTACTTAACATGCACAGTGGAAAATAAAACACATTTCAATTCCCACCAATGATCTTTTTTGTGTTTATAAAGAAACTATGATATAAGTTGTACATTTTGTTGATTTTGCAAACTCTTTTACTGATCTTAGAACAAGAACAGTCATGATCTGCAATATACTGTTGTCCAATTGTTTAGCCTCCAATGTAAATCCACACATGGAACAAGAATTAGAGAATTAAGTTTTCTTTTTTCTTGTGCTAGCAAGGTAATGAATTACGTTATTTTCTTTTCCGAAACCCTAATGACTTATTAATATATGTCCAGGTGGGCTTGGCCCGTCTCTTAAACTTAACCCGGTCCAATATTTAATTAATCCAATTAATTAAATTTGGTCAATGAATTAATTAATCCAATTAATTAATTCGGGCATATTAACAAGCAACCTAATTAATTAATTCTCCAACACTTGTGAATTAATTAATTGATGAATTTCATTCTTCTGATTCTCCTTTTGTGTCTTTCATCCTACTATCAAGTCAATATATTCGACTTATGAATATACATTGGCCAAGAATTTTGTTATAATTTAATTGAATGAAATGTAGATCATAATCTCTTACTATCTAAGAGTGATGAATCCTCTATTGATCATGCACACCCCTCATATGATTCTTGACATACCCGAACGATACCGTATTAGCGACCCTTGACAGCGCAACATCCGACATCACCAAAGCATAATTGTCCTCATATAAGGCACTATGCT